CTGAGGAATGGGAGAAGGCACAGACAGATGTTTTTTTAGTAAACATGTAAATCAGGTTGTCATTACATCGTAGCCTAAACCATAGTGAGCTTAGCCAAGATGGCTGAATGGCTTCTAGTCCAATTTAAACCATTTGACACAAAGACATGTGAACTAGTCTAGCAAGCATGTAGAATTCATCCCTGTCTGGACTCCTGGACTCACCTCTTGCCGTTTGATCTCTTTGGTGGAGAAAGTTCCTTTCTGGTGGATGTCTAATGTCTCGGACCATAAGGTGCTGTTCCTCCTTTTAGGTGGTGTGGGGGCCGCTGCCTTGCTGCAAGGCTTCTGAGGCACGCCCGGCAACTTGCCATCGCCCCGGAAAGAGGCCTTCAGAAAGAAAGAACACCACATGTCAGACATGTTGAAAGGGATGTCCCTGTCCCCCCAATGCGCTGTGTTTCCATTGGATGCCGTGAGCGCTTACCTGGATGGTTTGGCCGAAGCGCCGGACGGCCCCATTCTTTACCGGAGAAATGAGGTTGGCTAGCGACGTCACCCTGCCGAGAGAACGGACGCGCTTGTTGCTGGGTTCCTGCAGAAGGAGGCAAAAACAGAAGGGGAGGTTAGTCGTGCAGTTATTCTATCATAACTCGTGTCTGAAAACCCTGAACGTCTGAAGTGCGAGAGAGGCAGATCAAAACGAATCGATCAGTAACTGTGACACCTCAGCAAAGACTTCCTTGTGACAAAACACGTCAAGTCAGGTCATAAATCCTGGTTATGAACTCTAGTCCCTCCTTTAAGACGAGCAGCTGGAGCCGAGGTCAAGCCGCAGGCAGACAGCCTGGCTGAGCGGCAGACAGAGATACTAAGGAGGAGGAAGCACTTCCAGCAGCTGTTGGCTCCATCATATGAAGAGTCCTGAGCCAGGCCAGCCCACTGAGCACAAAGACCCTCTCTCACTGCTGATCTGGAGGGGAAGGGGGTCTGGAGGAATGCCAGGAATGCACGAGACCGTGCTTCTCAGCTGTTCAGTGTCTCTAATCTGCTGCTATCTGCTCTGACAAGAGCGAAAACTCAAGTACAGAGTGGATCTGCTGCATCGCTCAAACTGGGATAAATGATTCCTGATTTACGGATGGAGCTGCGTGGCAGCGTGCTCCTGCTACGAGCAAGAAAAAGGAGCAGCAGTCAGGAATACAGCAAAGTGTTTACGCAGTGCAGCGCTGCATGGGGCACACCACACAATTTATGGCTGCGAGTTGAAACACGCTCTTCAACAAGCCTTGCGTGAGAGAGTACTGCACCTGGGGCAGGTGACCCCCCCAAACACACACAACTCCTCACCCGCCCCGAGGCTGGGAGAAACAGGAATCAAAGAGCAGCAGGGTAATGATTATAATTCCACACGATTTGCATTTTCTTCTGCAGTGTAACATCTTAACATGACAGTGATGCAGTTTTGCCCTCTGAAGATAAAACACATCGCTTGTGTTTCCCTGACGCACACCAAATGAGATTTTGTCCCGGCTCAGCAAATGTGGGAAACAGTACAGCCACTGAGGCTCCGGTCTCTGTGGACGCAGCTGTGGAACAGCTCAGTCTGCTGTGGCTGCGGTCAGACTCTCCACGGAGAACTTAGCAAGCCCTCGAGTGGCGGGGGCCACATGTCAACTGCTTTCCTCTCTTTGTAACTTATCTGTGGCTACCAGACTTGGCTCCCTCTAAGTGATCACCAGTTCATATCTGTGGACAAATAAGTGGTAACAAGTAGTTTTTGGTGTGTTTTTGAGGGGCAGAGGGAAAATAGTGGAAAAGCGTAGTGGCCATGAAGCGCTGTGGACGCGGATAATGAGAGGCCACTCGTCCTGCTCTTTGTATATCAGCAGTTAAACAGGGAATGCTGCTATTCCTGGCAGTCCTGTGGCATTAGAGCGAGTCAGGCTGGAAACCATTCAGATCTGGGCTCAGTCAGTCGAACCCTCCAGACATAATATACATGTAGCCTCCTTCAACTTTCAACCTCAAACTTTTCTCAGCTCCCTCCCTGTGCTTCCTCTTTGATGTAACCTCACATGTGCCAGATGTGTCCCTGTGATTACAGCTTAGAAAATGATGGAAAAAAGAACAGGCACAAATCAAAGGACGGAGGTACTTAGAAAGTCAGCACAGAAGGAAAACACAGGGTTCTACTGAAAGAAAGGACTCAATTCGTGAAGTGTTTGCAGACTTGTCTTTTGCAAAGAGATTTACTGTCAGTGAAACCACACAGCCACAGGGAAATACACAGACAGCACCTGGGTTTCCTACGATATCTGCTGCTTTCATTGTAAAACGCATTACCCTTTGAATGCTTGGTTGTTTACTGAGACCCTACCCCCTGCTGTCTCACTGTTCCTGTACTCTTCTGTCTGCTCACTATGGACCTGATCTCCCCATTTCCCACTGAGACTGAGGTGTCTGCTGGGGTGCGTACGAGAGCAGGGGGAATACACAGCCGTGCGTGGGGGAGGTCGTTACTGTTCACAACTAAAAAGGTGCAGTGTAGTCCAATGATTAACTTTTCAGGGTTTGACAGTATCTTAAGCATTGTCCCAAGTGCCCTGGAACAAAGGTCAAAGTCTCTGTGCACACACACACGCACACACACACACACACACACACACACACTGTGTACATACGTGAGATAAAAACCAGGGTTAGGTGCTGATTGACTCACAGTGTGATACCTAACACCACACTATGACTTCATTTCCAGCAGCTCTGGTCAAACATTTACAGAGTAAAGTTTCAGCCATCTCACCTCTAAGTCCTTGTTGGCCTGGTTCTGGCAGTCTGTCACTTGCAGAGTCCGTTTGATAGGCACCAAGCTACCCACTTCATCGTAAGCCACCATATCTTTCAGTAGAAACACAGAATCCTTTTAATCCTCACGAGTTGGCTTCAAGTAATCCACACCAGAGAGAAAAAAGGTGGCAGAAAATCAAGAGTTATAAGCACGTAAAAAGACGGAACAGATACACCTTCCCCCTGTTTGGCTTTTTCTGGCATGGGGCTCCCTCCTCACTCTGCCTCGCACTCAGCTCTAAACTTTGGTCTGAGGCAGAGCAGGAGGGGAGGACTATATATGCAGGGGAGGAGTCCCGAGGAGGGACAGAGGGACGGGTCTACCTGAGGAAACAGAATGCCTTTGAACAGCTCCTACTCAGTGCAGACAAATAGCTGCCCGCATGCTTTGCTGCTCTATCGAGTCCAAATATTACTATGAAATGTAAAAATGATGGGCAAACGTTACTGCTAAGTGTGGTGGACACACAGCAGGTCCATACTACGGGCTAGTTTCTGTAATTCAGTCAATGGAGCCTGAATTCGTTGAATTAAAGACACATTTCTGGAAAGTATTTACAGCTATATAGTTTATCAATATGTTTACTGATCCACGATTTGCTACATCTGTAGATCCCATAAAAGCATTACTTAATCATAAAGGTACCTAGTGACAAACCATTTGTTACATTCTTCTACATTTAGTTCAGATTTCTGATTTTACTTTTAAATCCAAAGTTAACGAATAGTAGAAAATATGTCCAAGAGAGACACGATCTGTGCAGCAGGGCTCATTAATTACACTGTTCTGCACATACATTAGCTGAATAACTGATGGATACTCTGAGGCATTGTTTCTTTTTACCAAATTCATCAAGATAAGGGCCAGAGGCAGGAAACAGGTTGATTTTTTCACGTTATCCCATCAGTCTTGAGCTCCTTACCTTCAGTCATCTACAGGACAGAGGCTCTTATCATGTGAAGACAGTTTGATGAAGGGCTGAAAGACTAAAACAGTAACTTACTATGATAAAGACTTTTGATTTCACTGCACAGAGAGAGAATGACAGTAAAAAGATAAAACATTGGAATCTGTGTTATTTTAAATATCAACCATTGCTCCTAACTGACAGAAACCATGACAATCACAGTTCTCAGTGCTAATTATTATAAATGGAAACATTAAAACCTAAAAAGAATCAAATTTAGCTTTCAGAAGTGTCACATGTAGCTAGTTTGCGTCACTAAATCAAAGAGTATAAACACTGTTTTAGTTACAGTTTCAATGTCACAGGAATGTTTTAATTAAAGTCTTAATCAAGTCATTAAAAACATTAAAAGGTCGTACGCTTGGTCGTACTCAGCTTTCCACCAAGTGCCACAAAAGCTGAAACTAATTGATTTGGTTTGATTAATGGATTTCAATCAACAAACTATTATGGGGGCAGTGGTTTCTGCTTCTGGCTTGAAAGTCTTCCTATCAGTCTCATCAGCTGAACTGGGACTGAGGAGATGGTCAATTTGCATATCAACAGCAGGGAGCATTGTGACACACTCAGCCAGATGTTTGAACTGAAACCGGGATATTGAGCAGCACTGGGGTGGGGGCAGGGGACCGCTGCAGCTCATATGTTGATTGCTCTAATTAAGGGAGGGGGTGGCAACATGCTGCCAGTTTCAGTAAGGACAAAAGAACTAAGCAGAAGCCAAACACGTGGCTCTTTTCATGCATATGTGCACATCGAAAACGGACATTTTATCCGACAGGCGAACACGGCTGAAGGACAACCTTGTGAAGCCTGTGTTTTCCTGCCCAAATGGACTCCGTTCATCCGCCTGAGGTGTGAAACCAGCCACAAGCTTCATGCATGCTCCTGATGGGGGTGTCGAGATGTTAACACTTGGTCTTTGGGTTTGTTGACGCAGCAGTCAGAAGTCTGATGATCCTCCAACCAAAGAGGAGTATGAGCATGTACCGAGTAACTTCAGTCTCAGGCTAAAAATGAGAGTTTATACTGTCACATATAGTTTATATGGCAAAGCACAGAGAAAACTATGCAGACAGAAGAGTCACGCAGGCGCTAATAAAACCTGTCTGTGTGTAGTCTGTGTGCCTGTGGTAGACACTGTGCGGTCCTGCTGTTACTCACTCTTACGGGGAGACCTCGGCTGAATCAGCTGAACGTCTGGTCCAGACCCCGTAAAAACAACACCAGACTGAGCTGCAGCTGGAGTACAGTGGTGACTCCCAAAACCTGTCTGAGCGCAGCCCGCTGAGTTGTGCAGTAGCATGTGTAATGCACCGCTCTGCAGACTTTCACCTTTGTCTAACCTATGTCGTGCCAGGGACAGACAACCCCGAGGCCTCAAGAGACTGAGCTCAACCTGTACTTCACATCAGCAGCTGTGAGTGCAGAGCACATAGAGCCTAATTACAGCTTCCAGAAAGGCATAAAGCAGGAAGCTCCAGGCACAGAAATACTGCTGAGTGATTCAAAATAAGAAGAGAACAGGGGGAAGGTGCTGCTGCCCTCTGCTGATGGGATAGAAAGCGAGTGTTTCTGATTCTGTGGCAAACTGGAGGCATGAACACATCCCCCTAAAATGTATTCCCTACATGGAAAATGACCGTACATGCTTCTGTCCATTCCAGTGCTCAGTGCTTTTCTGTCTTTGTTTTTTGCAGTTTTTGCACACTTTATGCAGTCCTGTGTAGACTGTC